TTTAGGGTGAGATTTTCTTCTGTAAAGGATAAAATCCTTGATTTCACCAAAGTCCATTCCATGTGCATTGACCTTTCATCCCCAAAATTCAGAAGCTTTCTGCACCAGCACAGCAACCTGGTGCTTTGGAAAATTTGCTCCAATGAGAGGTAGAGAGGCCTTTCAAAAACATACCTTGCTCTGTGTTCAGTAGGATTGAATGCTAGTTCCTGGCAAAACTGTGTCCTGAACATCTGATGTGGAATTTTTTTACTCTAACCTTTCCTCAGCACAACTTTTGCTATTTTGAATGATTTATATTGCCTTAGGGACACTGCTTGACTTTTACATACAGGAGTTCAGCAGTGCCATGAGTGAATTGTTACCTTCTTTTCAACAAATGAAAATAAATGCCTGCAAATCTTGGCTTACAAAGCCTGACTTCCATTAAAATGTAATTACCTCTCTTTTGTGCCTTATACATTAAGACTGGCTTCAAATGGTGTGTGGCTCCTGTTCAACTAAATTGCTTTCATTTGCTGCTTGCATAGTAAGAATGAGGCTCTGGAATAAAGATGACTATTTAAAGAGGACTGCTGCCATTCCAAACTGCATAGAGAAAGTTCTGCTTATAAAATTCATTTGCTTACTTGGTAAGATCCTGACTAGAATATTTGTTACTGGTCATCATGGGCCCACAGAAATGGGTCTAGTGCTAGTGCATGACTACACAATTTTTAATCCTGGGACTAATTCTAAGGCATAAAACAATTTGTAGGGTTATTCAGGTGATGAATGATCAGATAATACAGTGTCAGTGCATTGACACAGTTTTTTCCTGCAGAACTGTTTGTTTTTTATCTTGCAAGAAGTGTGTTGGTTTCAGAAGGGAGTAGAATGGCTGAGCAGTGCTTAGTTGTTGCACACTGCAAGGACTGCCAGGCCTTTGGAATTTGCTCTTTGCATGTGCCCTGGTCCAGGATCCTGGCCTCCGTATGAGCAAGAGTATGGCTAGGCAGCCCCTCGCTGTGGGATAAGAGAGAAGAAGGAAAGTGTATGCAGTAACACACACACAAAAACTGAGGGCTGTTTTGTCATCCTTGTTAATATTCGGAAGCGTACGTAGCTCACTCTTCCAGTACTTATGTTTTGCTGCAAGGAGGCACAAGGAGGGGAAACGTAAGTATTTCCTTGATGTGAAGGAAGCCAGTGAGAAGACATAACTTCTACTTTTCTCAGTGTGGCTTTGTGTGACCCATGCCAGATGTGGAAGGATGCTTTGTCTGGGGCTCTTGGTGCTCTTGGAACAGCAGGTAAACAGCTACCCTTGTCTATTCCCTCCTCTGCAAAGCCTGCTCACCTCAAATGTTGAGAGACACATAAGTGCTGGCCGTGGTATTGGTATCTGTAGGAGAAATACCTTTGATAAGGCATTTAATGTATTTAAATTAATGTAAGTGTAAGTATCAAACATGTTTGCATACTTTTCATAAGGTTTTATATTGAGATGTTCCAGTTTGTGGACCATGAACCAGAAATGGCTTGTAGGATACTTCTTTCACAGTTAGGCACATAGCCTGGCTGAGCAGGTCCCTGAACTGACCAAAGTCTCCTCTTCTGAAATACAGGATTATCATCCTGATTTTAACTTTGCTCCTTCCTCTCTGGATCCTGAACTTTACTACAGATAGCTCATAAAGGCTCCTCCAACTGCTGTCTGGCTCAACTGGGCCACCTAACTTTAAAACAAAAAGGGCAGTGAGCAGGTTCAGATTAAAATTCTGTGTGAGCTGACATGAACCTGAATTTCGTCTGGTCATGTGGTTCTGTCATTGTAGCTCTCAACATAATTGGTAGCACTTGTCTTCAGCAAACACCTTCCCTGTAGACAATGGACAGCTGGTGCACAGATCCATGGTCTGTCTTTGGAAATATAACACTTAATGGGGCAGGTGAGGTGAAAAAGGCTGCTGTTGACCCAAAGTGCCTCCAAATGACAGTGTTCTGCTCAAGGTAGTGCCTGTCACTGTGCAGATTTTCCTACTTCCTTCTGGCTCAGTGGTGAGTGTTGCTGTGGTCAAGCTGCTTTGCAGGGCCAGTGAGATGTGGAGATCAGCTTAGTGGCTTCCCCATCATAAAGACTGGCTTGATGGGCACTGCTTGATGGGTTACTACAATTTCTGATGGCAGGCTGGGACCACATTAAGATGCCAGGTAGGATGATGCCAATGGCTGAACCGAAGGTATTACCTCTGATCTGTGCTAACCTGAATTGAATTTCTGTAATTTTCGCGTACGGAATGTGAAACTGCAGGAGATTGTTGGACACAGTGTATCAAGGGTGTCTTTCCCTCACTTAACTATCAGCTACAGCTGATATGGGACTGTTGAGCTTTCAGATAATTGGCATAGTACTCTCAGCTGGTCAGCCTTTGGAGCGCGGTGTCAGAGCTAGCACATGGCAACCCTTCCAGTCATGCCTGGTTACTCCAGGAAGGATAACACTGGTGAGTTGATCAGGGTGATGTGGTTCCCAGTGTGGCTGTGTGAGCTGACCTGATAGTATGTCATAGAAGTTGAAATAGTAGCATATGGTAAAGAGAGATGAGGACAATAAAAACCTGAATGACCCAAATGTAAAGAGTAGGCCTAAGTAATGAAGAAACATGAGCAAAGTGCATCTTAATGTAACTTTATACTTTGTTTGCTGTGGACCATTGTCTGTAGCGTGATCATAATCAAAACAGGTAGTGTAGCTGTGAGCAGACTTGTGCATAAGCATATGAACATTAACTTCTTCATAGGTCAGTACATGGTTATTGGTGTCTGTGTTATGATTTTTAAAAGAGCCTAAGGACTGGGAATTATTTGAGCAGATTTCTTCCTTTTTTTTTTTATGTTGTTGCAACTCTGTGTGTGCATGTCATTTCACATAGCAAATATGCTTTTCATCAATCCAGTTTACCTGCCTGAAAGACAACTCTGTGGTGGTGCCAGTACCTTTAATGATGGAGGAATTACATCTGGCACATGACAGTTTTACCCTGCTGAGGCACAAAGCACAGTCACTTGTCTTTGTAGGTAGATGAGTTTGGCAGTTTGGATGATGTGCAAATTATCACAAGGATAATTTGGAAGGAGTTATGAGTATGGGGACCTGATGTGATCATGTGACTCCAGATCAAAGCCTTCTCCTAGTGGTCGCTTCATCCCTTCCATGAACTCCACATACTCTTCAGTAGGGTCCTGTCTGCATTTACACGTCTCATTTTAGTAAATTTGGTTGAAGTCTGCATAGTACTCTTACGCTTGTGCTGGGTCTAAATAGATTTTACAGATTTGAGTGCTGAGAAAGTGGTGATGTGGGGGGGTAGAGAGCATGAAAGAGAGCACAATCATTACAGAATACAGAAGGGTCAGTGATACAGAGGCAAAATTAGAGGAAGTGGAGGATGTAGGTAAAAGAGGCTCAGGAGGATACAGGAAATTTGCAGGGGAAAAAAAGCTTTAGCTGAAAGCAAATTAGGTATTAACTTAATGAAAAATGGCTTTTTCGAGTAACAGGTTGTAAAATAGCATCAGATTCTGTGAATGGCTCCAAACTGCAGATGTTCATACACACATGCAAGCACACACAAAGGCAGGAGGGGAAAAATTGTTCATTTTCAAATGAAAAGAAATTACTTCTTTTAAATTATTATCCCCTCAAATGTTAAGCAAAGTTTTTAAGGGAAAGAGATTTTAGAGAGATTATACGACTAAACACTAAAAATGTGTTTTATATTGCTTTGACTAAAGGATTATTGGAAAAAATTTTTGTCTTGTTGAAAAAGGTGAAGAAAAATTGCTGGTTTGAAAAAGTGGCAAACAGAAAAAATAACCATCAGAGAAATGTGACAACCTAAATTTGCCTTCTGTTGAAGACACCTGGCCCTATCCGTAGCTGAAAGATGTTGGTGTAGTTCCCTTGGCTTTAATAAAAATAAGTTGGTTTTACCAGAACTGATGTTTACTAGACTATCTGTGTTATGCAAATGGTTCAGAGAGAAAATAATCACGTTCACAAAGAACAATACCACCTTAAGCTCATTTGCTGTCTCTCCGTGGCACCTGCTATGTTGGTTTTTGTGCTGGAATCCACAAGGATTTATTCATGCTCCCAGTGAGAACTGTTATTTTCCCCATTACAAGGTGACATGTGACACAAGAGCACCCAATCCTCTTAATTCATATTAATTTTTTAGATGCCTTTGTGAATTTGCTTTACCTGTAGAATACCACACTGCCCTAGAGTGCAGTGAATGTTATTGCAGATGGTAATATAATATATAAATTTTCACTAGTACATTCATATTGTTCCCTTATTGCTCCCAAATTAATCAGAGAGGCAGGTGATCCTTAGTCCCTTCCTCATCCTATCAGTACCAGCTGTGTGGACAGACCATGCTCTAATGACTCCAGGCCAAGCTTTGTTTTCCTCTTGAGAGTACATAGATGTTTGTCCCAGACAAAGGGGGAAGGGTTGGCAGTGGAGGAGCTGAAGAAACAAGTGAGCTTTCTCACCATGCTCTGGAGTTGCTCTCATATTCAGAGACAGCCAAAGACTAACAATGAGACAGAGAGGAAGCAAGGGAAGGGTATGTGTGTGGGTAGTGTGTGCAAAGCTTTCTTCCAGCTCTCCACTGAGCCATGACCTGGTTTCTCCAGGAGATGCCTGCTGTTTTCTTATTTTCGAAGCAAGTTTCTGAGACAATGCTTTGCATGCCAAGCAGGGTCAGCCACTCAGATAGGAAGGGTTCTGAAAGGGACACAGAATCCCCTTTCCACCTTCTCTAGTGCCTTCTCTAGTGCTTTTCTTTTTTTTTCTTCTTTTCCTTCTCATTTCCCTTTCTTTGTTCAAAATGAGGAAACAATTTTTATGTACATGAAGAAAAAAAAGGGAACTTTCAGAAGTATTAAATAAAACTTATTGCTGTGCCTGCTAGACACTAATTTTTGTATTGTTATTGTTATCTTGACAGAATCCAAGAAGAAGAAAAAGGAAGGCAAGAAACAAGAGAAGATGCTGGATTAATGGAGTCAACTTGGGCAATTTGAGAAAGGGACATCAGCAAACATGATCAGTTAACAGTTTCATTTATACCTAGGCATTTTATCCTAAAATTATTTATAGCTTAATGGTACCATAGAAGGAAACAAGCAAACACAGAAAAAAAAATCCTTTTTTTATTACTTTAGTATTTTTAATGTATAACCCTAACAACAACTTTTAGAGGCCTGTAATAAAGACTCCAAACTCATTTAGAAAATTATTTCTATTGTATATTGAACAATGTAGACCTTTTTAAAATATTTTTTTTTCTCAAGTCTTGCCATAGGTCTCAATCTGGTAATTAGTCCATGCAAGCAGAACCTGAGCCCGTGTGGAGCTCTGCTGAAGCCAGTATGAATACAGGACTCTGGCTGGATGCATTTGTATTTAAGACTGGGACCTTATATCTAAAAAAACCTGAGGCTTGTTTCTTAATTTCTGATTACATCTAGATAACTCTATGAAATTATTTGTTTAAGGGAAGGATGGGGGCATTTTGTTTAGTATTTACAAATACAAAATTTTCTTGGATTTGTGGTGAATGTTCATTCCAAGATGTCACCATTTGCTGATAAAACCCAGTAACACTCCTTTCCTTGGCCATATTTTGGATGTTGGCAGTAAATCTGAAATCTTTAAATGGCTGGATGTAGAACAGTCCTAATTTTTCATTATTTTCTAGCAATGATTTTTCCAAGTGGAATAATAGCAAAACTTTCCATTTTTTAACATGTCAGTGTTGAGGTAGTGTCCTCTGTTTTACCTATAAGAGCTGAAAAATGCTTTATTTTATTTGTTTATTTTGCCAGAAGGGAGAATAACCTTTTCATAAAAGATCTAGTTGAAATTGTTGTGATTCTGCCTGACCCAGCTCCCTTTTTTATCAGTGGCAATCTTCCTGTTTATTTTAATTATAGCTGGTTGAAAAATAGTGTGTCTGGTGGGAAATAACAGAAGAAATCTGTTTAGAAACTGCCAGAGGTAGTTCATATTTTTGATCAAAAAGGGACAACTTGTGGGACTTGAAACAAATAGGAATGAAATGAAATTTTGTTTCTCTATTAGTAAAACAGAAAGGAAATACAAAAGCAGTACCTTTTGCTTTCTTTCATTTTTAAATAAGCAAAAAGACCTTGGAAAAACTAGTCAACATAACAATAGTTGGGATTTTTTATTAAATAGTCTGCAGGGGGTTGGGAAGAAAAAATATAGCCAGCTCGTTTTCAGTTTGTTCAATTTTACCTAATCTAAATGATTCTGAGTCCTGAGAAAAGTCACAAAGTAGAAAAAAACCTGGAAAAGCACTGGTCTGTCCCAAGCTAAAGGGTTGTTTAACAAGCTGACAACCAGCAGACCAAAATTTTTAGATGAAACCTAAGGGATTTCAGTACCCAAACTAAGTTCAAAATCATTGCTTCTAAATTCTAAATCTTTAAATTCAACAGCAAGAAATAAGCTTTGCTACTTGTGTAGGCTGCAGGCTTGCCTGCTGCTCAAGAGGAATAGCCTCCCTTGTACTGCTGCATGGTACCCACTGACTTCAGCAAAGCTGCAGCAGGGTGTGTTATGTCTGAGTAAATCACAGGGCTCTCTTGGGATTAGCTTGTAGACAAGCAGAGAGTCTTTGTCCGGACTAACATCACTACCGTTTTCTATGCAAGAACTTTACAATTGCAGAACTTGCCCTCTTTTTTTTCACGTGGAGGGTACGGCTGATCCGGACTCACGGTGAGGCAAGTCCTTCTGTAGATGTTCCCAAACACTTCTGAAGCCAGCTAGCCAAGGCTGCACATAGCTTAAGGTAGACTAGCCTCATAATCATCTCCCAGATTCCCTGGGTGTGTCTTGCAGTCTGTGTTGATGTCCTTGTTAATTCGACTATGCTGTTAGACATACCTGAGCCCCAGGTGCAGTTAAAAAATGTCCCCCACACGTGGTGGATGTGCAATGACCAAATCTAAAATCACAAAGGCTCATATTTAGATGGTTCTGGGTGCTATTTGGTTTGTTCATGGTCTAATCAGGTCTACCTGTGCTTGTGCCTCAGATTTAAACTAGTGGGATGGTAGGTCTGATTGAAAGCAAAGGGAGAAAGAAACTTTTTCACTCACCAAAGGTTTGTCTGTCTAAATGCTGCATCAGTTCACTTAAAGTGGTTCAGCTTTGAGTGCAAACACTGTTGCACCATTGTCTTACACTGGTTAATCTAGTCCATGTTTCATAGGGAGCTGGCAGGAATTTGGAATGATGCTGAGACCAACACTTTGACTATCCTTTAGTCAAAATCTTAGATGTGACTTCTGATTTCCAACTTTGTGAGTAAGAAGAAAAGTTCCTCTGTGTTTCCTCTGATGCCTTATGGCCCTTTTGTTTAACTGCCCATCTGGCTTGTTAAAGGAACATTCCTAATAGTTTTTGAAGGAGGCCAGTCAAGTTACTATGGTGATATAGGGCCTTCATGGAGAGAGTTTACAGAAAACAAAGAAACAAAACAAAAAATACCATGTTAGGACCAGAAGAAAATGCAGCAATCCTGGTAGCAAAGGGAGAACATTTCCTATGTACTACTCATCCACGTATGTTTGGATCTCTATTGGCATCTTATTGTTGACAGCACTTGGAGTTAAAGTTTATAAACTTGAAATTAAGAAAATTTCCAATAAACCAGCACAAGAAATTCAGTGGAAACTCTAACTATGCAGGAGATGGTAAAAGTAATTCGTGGCAGAACACAGAGGAAGACTGAACAGGTCAGTCAGGTCAGCTCTGAAAGTATGTACTTGGTACCTTCATGGGGCCATTGTTTCACTAGTGACATTATCAACAAAGCAAAAGGCAAATATCTGGACAAAACCTCTTCCCACCCATATTGCTCAGTTTCTACTTCAGTCATGCTGAAATTTCTCCTTATTTGCTTTCTAATCTTCTACCCTCTCCGTCCTTTGGGAGGGCAAGCTTCTCTGATAGTGCTGTGGGAGCGGCTACTTCAGATGAAATATGTGTTTACCCCCGTGGTGCTATCCTGTCACAATGGCAAATGACTTAGCATAGATGTATAGCTTACTAGTTTAACTGACAGAAGCTCGTTTCATGAATGTCCCTCTCAAGGAGTGGTTTACATCTTCATATGCTACAGCTATAATATAGTATGGGGAGGTGATAGAAATCCCCCAAATGACAGCCTTTTTCTGAGCACTCAAATCTCTTGGAAAAAGCGGGTTGAATTGCTGACCATCAGCAAAGGATGAATCTGCATCCAGACTCTGGATTCTAGCAAGTTTAAACTTAGGGTATATTTGGATATATTTCCTTTCTCTTTCTCTACATAGGCTGAGGCAATGCTTATATGCAGTTAGGCCTGCCTATATCTTGACTCAAAACTGTATTTGAGCATTGGGACATTTTCTGACTTTGACATGTCTTCTGGCAGAAGTGCCCATAGTGAAAGAGAATCATTGCTTGTCAGCCTGGCTTATTTAACAGTCTATTAAGTGCAGCAGAAGTGCAGGGCAAGGCTCCAGGAAGGGAAAACATTTGTACATGTGGGTAGATACTAAATTGTAATTTACTGATTCTCATCTTCTAATTCCATAATGACATTCTGGGCTGAACTGTTTTTCAAAGGAGAAAAAATTAGAAGAAATGAAAGAATAATAATTATAAAATGTATCAACAGACAACGTTGGAGACTGTCAAGAAGAGACAGATATAAAGTCAGGAGCATTTTATACAAACTTCTTTTGCATGCTCCTTAAGTACAGAAAGCAGAATTACTGGTTGGCACATTTGTTTTTATGCTTTCCTTGATTTGTGCCTTAATGAAAACTAATCAAATGTATAGTGTTACAGAGAAACAAAGTCCCACTCCAACCTCAAAGAAAGAGTTCATCTGGAGGCAAAGTCAAAGGAGACAATAGTATGTCTATGTTTTCCATTTAGGAGTGCAAGGTATGCTGACATTGATAGGAGAAAACATAACATCCTTCTTTAACTCTGGTGTATATCCTTCACCACTTGGCACGTGGCAGTTGACAATTCAAGTAAAACAATGGAGCATTAGGATGAACTAAGGGGAAGTGAATACTGATGAAGACTGTTTATGAAAACAGGCCTATAAACCCCCTGAATCTAATAATGCTGCTAGCAGGGAGCATCTGAAGACAAACATTTCTTGCTTGTTTAATGAAATTCCTTAACATATGATGAAAACTTCTGATCTTTCTGAGGCTAATGTCAATGTTGAGGGTGGAACAAAAACCAACCTGATTTTCTCTCATTCTAGGAGCTGCAACAACATTAACCATGTAAATTCACCACTTTTCTAAAACAAAATATTGATGAGGTACACCATTTTGACATGACACAGATAGTCTTTCATATCTCCCAAATTCTTATAAGAAGGGAAAGTGTGCATAGGAAGTACCTTGTATTCAATCTATTTCAATTCTCCAGGACAGCATTCCTGTGGACTTGTGATTGAGTTCTCTCCTTTGTAGAGACAGATTATACCTGTTTCCAGCCTTCCCCCACTCATCTGTAATTTTGATAGCATTTATAGGTTTTCTGTCAATTCTGCTAAGGCATTCTACCTCTCAGTTAAGCTTCTGTGGATGGTGCTGATCTTTCTTCATCCCTGAGGCTATTTTCTCCATTTCTTCCTGGATTGTTGCACAACAGCCCCAGGAAGCCCATACCATCAGGTACTGCCAAACATGTCCTAAGATTAAAAGACACAGTGGCAACTTGTTAATCAGATGATGACAGTAAACAAGGAAGTATGAGAATGAGCCGAGAGATTCCCTGGATTCACTGGGAGGGTGGATTGCTGGAAAAACCTTTGTCATAGTCCAATCTGGGCAAGGTTTTCTAGGGGACAGAAATGATCAAATGATCATCTCAAAAATTAGAGACGCTGATTCAGGAGTGTCTGCCCTCAAAAGAAAAGTATCTTAGCTAGATAAATAGTGGCAAGAAGCTGTTTCCTTTACCCCTGTCCTCTTTTATCATTAATTTAAAGGGAAGAGGCATGGTGCATAGAGTTTCAGGGGTAGTGAAAGACTTACCTGAGCAAAGTAGAGCAAGGAGAGAGCTTCATCCACCCACGGGTGTTTGCATT